AAAATATGTGGCAAACACTGGCATGTGTACCTAATTTTAACTGTACAGACCATCCTTTTTTGTAAAGAACTGTTCCTAAAACCATATTGCTAAACAGGTCGAATTTTTCTTTAAAAATCCCAATGATGGGAGAATCTTGTTATCTTGCTTACTGTTTACCATCAAATAAATCATAGATATCACAAGAATATGTTTTAAAGGACAAAAAAGAAACTCAGTTCCTAGCCTTATGGGAGGACCACACTTCAAAGCAGAATAGAACAGTGGTTGATAACGTGATCCTTAAAGCATGCCTGCTTTAGAATCTGGCCGTGCCGCTTACCAGCTGTGTGACTTGGAGCAAGTTCTTGCTCTGCTTCCTTTTCCTCATTGGCAAATGGGAATGATAAAACCTCTGAAAGTTGTTGTAAAGATTAAATGAGTTAATACTTATGATGCATTTAGAACAATGCTAACCTATAAGTACTTAGTATGTTTTAGCTGTTAGCGGTAGTAGAGTAATAGCACTAATACAAGCCAGACTTAGTTATGTCAGTAATTTTGTTTATTTCCTTAAAAGTATAAACAAGTTTTTCTGAAGGATGGAAGTTAGAATGATTTTTTTTTTTTTTTTTGTGAGGAAGATCAACCCAGAGCTAACATCCATGCCAATCCTCCTCTTTTTGCTGAGGAAGCCTGGCCCTGGGCTAACATCCATGCCCATCTTCCTCCACTTCATATGGGACGCCGCTACAGCATGGCCTGACAAGCAGTGCCTCCGTGCGTGCCCGGGATCCGAACCCAGGCCGCCAACATCGGAGCGTGCACTTAACCGCTAAGCCACGGGGCTGGCCCCTGGATGATTTGTTTTTTAAACTGTCTAGGAAAATTTATGCTCTGGACTATGCTATGAAGCCATTTGCTTTTAAAATTTGAAGAAACGTATAAATAATTTTTTTTTTTTAATTTTATTTATTTATTTTCTCCCCCAAAGCCCCAGTAGATAGTTGTATGTTATAGCTGCACATCCTTCTAGTTGCTGTATGTGGGACGCCGCCTCAGCATGGCCAGAGAAGCGGTGCATCAGTGCGCGCCCGGGATCCGAACCCCGGCCGCCAGCAGCACAGCGCGGGCACCCAACCGCCAAGCCACGGGGCTGGCCCTAAATAATTTTTTTTAATCGCAAAGTTATTCTTAACCATGTAACAAGATGAGAAAGGAAAAAACAATAACCACAGCTCTTTTTTATTCTAGCCCTTGATATTTTGGATTAAAGGGTGAATTATCTTATTAAAAAGGGTAGCTTTTTTTTGGAATTTAATGACAAAGTTTATAAGAGCTATCCACCATTCAGTGGCTATTTTACTTTCTTGTTTTTCTTTTTGAACTCACGTGGGCAGAACTGGATTGATAATGATCAGTCATACTCTTTAAGTTTGTGATGACCCACGATCACAAGTCTCTGCCTAAGTTCTTTATTTTTCTCCTTTATCCCGCTTTCCTGATTTCTGTGAGGAATTTATTGTTGTGTGTTTTAAGTTTTACATAATCATATTGTTGTTCATTTGATTCTGCTCTTTTAGTAAACATTATTTTTGTAGCTCTCAGCTCATCCTTTTTGACTGCTGTATAGTATATCATATATTATATTTTGCTTATCCATTTTCCTCTTACTAGATATTGAGTTTTTTCCTAACTCGTCGGTGTTACAAATAGTACTGTGATGAACATCCTTGTACATATACCCAGGAACACACAACTGGGAAGTGACAGGACCAAGTTTGAGCCTGGGTGTGTCTGACTCAGTTCATTCTTTTTCACTGTGCAAACTCCCAGTCATCACTTATGTGCTTAATTTATTGCATGGACACTATTATGATAGTAGTAATGGAAATATAAAAAATGCAGTGTGATTGTTGATTTTTCTGCTAACAGGTCAACTCATTTTTGCCCTTTTTTTCTGTAGTTTTTGTTTAGATGTGTATATTGTGTTAATCCATTATGGATAACAATTTTGTATTCCACGTTTTTGTGCTGATATATCACCTAACTTAGGAGTCCACAGACTTTTTCAGTAAAGGGTCAGTTGGTAAATATTTTAGGCTTTGTGGGCCGTGTGGTCTCTGTTGCAGCTTCTCAACTCTGCAGTTGTAGTGCAAAAGCTGTCAGAGACAATACCTAAACCCGAGAGTGGGGCTGTGTTCCAATAAAACTTTATTTACAAAAACAAGTGGCAGGCCACTTTTGGCCCACACACAGTAGTTTGCTGACCCCTGATTAAAATAATTATTTTAACAGAATCATAATATTCTGCTATTCAAGTTTTTTCAATATTACAAGTAATGCTATAATAATACCATTCCCTCTCTTTAATATTGTGTTCTTAGGATAAATTTCCAGAAGTGAAGGTACTGATTCACGTTTATGGCTTTTTTGTGGCTCTGAAAATTAATTGCCAAATGCCTTTAAAAGAGACAAGTTTTAGTTTTTATAAATTACTTGAGAGAATAGATTTTGATTTCAATGTGGATAAATATATCTAAAACCTGATCTTTCTTTTGAAGAGTTAGGGAGGAGCCTTCCTCCTGTCAATTTGAATTTTAAAATATAAAGAGAGCATTAATCTATGTTATGGGATGTAATATTTCTTGTATCTTAATATTTATTAGGTATAAGTTTTGTAATTAATTTTTCTTAAATCTTTAAGATGTACTTGACATATCTTATTTCAGTTTAAATCTAATAATGTGTTGGAATTTTGAAACTCACTTGTACTTTAATCTTTACTTAGCTTGAGTTTCCCTGAACCTTGTACACCATTTGCAAACTTGCTTAATTAACAGCACAATTACAATTTTAGTATATTTGATTTTCTTAAGTACCTCAAACACCTGACAGGGCACACTTATAGATCTAACAAAGGAAATCTTTCTAAGCACTTAGGTGTTGTCTATAAACCTAATAAGTCTAAACTTACTGATTTAATCAATCAGATTCCCTTAAGCATTTAAAAGCTGATTACAGACAGTTAAAATTTTATAGGTTTACTACATCAGAATCTCTTAAATTCTTTAAAACCTTAAAGGCAGACAGAATTATCCAACGATGATAAAATGTATTACCACACATACTTTAACCTATCATATTTAACTTATCGCATTAGTATTAATAAGATTTTTAGGTTTGGTTGATTTTAAAATCACATCTATTCGTGTTTTTGTAGGTTGCAGAGTCACTTAAAGGCTGCAGGGTATCATGGCTGATTTAGGATACAGATTACATAATCTTTTATTGCTTGATTTGCTATAATGGAATTAATCATAATTTGAACATAGCACATAATTGGATTGTTAGCTATATGGTATTACTGGAAATTTATATATGCCTTTCTTTTAACGTAACTCATTTGCCCCCTTTAAAGATCATTGTGGACTCATGACTTTCCACAGAATTACTTTTTCATTTTTATGTATATTTTGTGTTTTTTGTTTTTCAGTGCTAAATTGTCCAGCTTGGACAGTGGAAGCCCCTTTAAGCTGGATCCTTTGTTTTATTACTACTACCCCAGGCATATTTGAGTACTGTGCTTTCTGACAGCAATAAGCTACTCCAGGCCTTTCTTGTTTTTCTTTGCCTCCAGAAATGGAATCAGCTGTTTTCCAAGGAGTCCTGGTTGTTCTTTTTTTAGTGGAGAATAATATTAGAGGTCAAACTCTAAATTCAAGATTATTAGTATAAATAGGGTGACACTGCTGCTAAGACCAATAAGAGAGAAAGAAAAATGTTTTTTGAAGGCTATGACTTTATAGTGATTTTCCAATTTAATTCCAACTGTATGCAGTATTTAAAATATTTTTAAATCAATTTTAATTTTTATTATAGTAGTACACATATAAATTTACAACTCAGCTAGTAATTTAAGGTCCGTATCCAAAACAGTGGTCCCTGCACCATGCTAGAGGCAACTACTTTGAACATTTTTATCCATTTCTTCTGGTATTTAACTCCATGTGTCTAAATAATATGCTTTAATTTTTCCATTTTAGACGGCTGGTCTACTATGAAATATCTCTTATGCCAGATCCCCTTTAACACAGTGAGACATATATACTCTTCCCCATCATCCTCTACATGTGGGTATGTCACAAGTTGTTATTAAATATTCAGAGGTTTGACCCCGAGCTACGAATACAGCCTGTACAGGTAGAGTTTTGTTCCTCTTTAAGAAGAGAGAGCGGGAGCTTATACTTTTAATAGGAGTCATCTCCTCTTTCTTCTTGCTTCTTCCCCACTGACTGCAGTGAAGGAGCAGAACAGGACCAAGGCGAGTCCTGACACAGGGAAGGTTGTCAGCCTTGACTGAACTACTAAAATAGTGTGTGTTTGGACTGGCTTAGCTGATCTTAGGAGGTTTTAACACCATCCTTTCTGATTGTGAACCGTAACTGTACTTAATTTAAGAAGGCAGATTTTCCTTAGGGTTCACCTTGGTATCCATGTTTGTGGTATGCCTGCCTTCATGGTCTGTTACTATTTTCTTTGAACTGAACTATTAGACTTTTTTTTTTTTTTTTTTTGTGAGGAGGACCAGCCCTAAGCTAACATCCAATGCCAATCCTCCTCTTTTTTGCTCAGGAAGACTGGCCCTGGGCTAACATTTGTGCTCATCTTCCTCCACTTTATATGGGACGCCGCCACAGCATGGCTTGCCAAGCAGTGCGTCGGTGCACCGCACAGGATCCGAACCGGCGAACCCTGGGCCGCTGCAGCGGAGCACACGCACTTAACCACTTGTGCCACCGGGCTGGCCCCTAGACTTATTTTCCAAATCATTAGTACAGCTTGATATTACTCCTATAGCCTCAGTATCACTTCACTGAGTTACTGTTTTTTTGGCCATGTTTCTCTTTATATATTAACCAAACTTCTCAGTTTGGGAAAATTATGCAATTACTGTATAAAAATGAAAAGTATTTGGAAATTACTATTTAGTCTGATGGTTACACTTTCCTCCTTTTCAGATATATTTTTGCCATCATGGATCAGTTTGGAGATATATCAGAAGGTGAAGTGGACCATTCTTTCTTTGACAGTGACTTTGAAGAAGCAAAGAAATGTGAAAGTAACTCAGTTTTTGACAAGCAAGGTGATGACCCTAAAGAGAGAATAGATGAAGATACAGAAAACTTAAAATTTGGAATACAAAGAAATTATCTTACTGAGAAAGGAAATGAAAGAAAAGAGAAAATTCCTTCAGAAGAACACCCTGTAGAAAATGATAGTATACAAACTGGAAATTCCTTATCATTGACCACTTCTTCAAGATCAAAAAAATTATGTGATGCTACAACAGGACGTAAAATACCCTTGCCCATTCCAAATAGAATTCCCAGAATTGTGAAAGAAGGTGAAGATGATTACTATACAGATGGAGAGGAGAGCAGTGATGATGGGAGAAAACATCATGTCAGGTCCAAGTCAGCTAAAGCATCTAATAACTTTAAAAAAGGCCTAAGTAAAAAGTATTCCAAAAGTAGTTCCCCTTCCTCCTCTTCCTCTTTGTCATCCTCATCCTCGAGTTCAGAGATAGATTGTTCAGATGCAGGGTCTGATATCTGTACATCTGATTCATCTCCGTCATTAAAGAAGCGTCTATCTGGTGTAACCCACTTGTCACCAAAACAGAAGTATAAACCAGGAATAAAATCAACAGGGACACAGCCTTCCAGTAATAAACCAAAAGTCAGTGACTACACTGAGGAGTCTGAAGATACTGTCACAGACGTAACTCCTCTCTCAACTCCAGACATCAGCCCCGTTCAGTCTTTTGAACTGGGTGCGTCCAATGATCAAACAGTAAAAGTTAAAAGGCAAGAAAACGTGAGTCAAGAAGTGTATGGAAATGTTGAGGACTTAAAAAATAATTCAAAATCTTTGAAATCAGCCAAAAAAGGGAAAGAAAAACATGAGCCCAATCTCACCTCAAAGTCTTCAGTGTTAGAGTCTGATTTAGACCACAGATATAAACAAAAAGTCTTACATGACACAATGGACCTGAATCATCTTTTGAAAGGTAATTTTCTTTTTAAAAACTCTGTATTGAATTTAAATATTAAACTTAATGCCACATTGAGCTTAAATTTTAAATGCTATGAATTTGGGGGGCCGGCCCAGTGGCGCAAGTGGTTAAGTGTGCGTGCTCCGCTGCTGCGGCCCAGGGTTCGCTGGTTCGGATCCTGGGCGCACACCAACGTACTGCTTGGCAAGCCATTCTGTGGCGGTGTCCCATATAAAGTGGAGGAAGATGGGCACGGATGTTAGCCCAGGGCCAGTCTTCCTCAGCAAAAAAAGAGGAGGATTGGCAGATGTTAGTATGGGGCTGATCTCCTCACACACACACACACAAAATGCTATGAATTTGCATTGATTTTTCAAGTAGATATGTTTTATCATTTGGGATAATTGATATTATTGTGACTTTACTAAATATTTCATTTTACCATAAAAATATGGAATATCATTATTTATATTATTGCAAAGGTAACCAATTAGAAAATTACTTCACATTAATTTTGTTTTTGTGACTTATAAGCTCGAAATGCCTAGAGGGACCAGATGGATGAGATAAATGAGAGAAGTGAAGCCAGATGTTTTCCCACAGCACTGAGGTTAAAATAACCTGACCTGTTGTTTTCATATTAGGGAAAATGGCAAGAATGCAGGCAAATGAAAGATCTCCGAGTAAGTGGTTGGGGACTGTCCAGATTAAAACTGTTCAAGTTAAAGGCTAAAGAGCATTACTTGAAAATAATTACCTAGTTGATGAAATAGTATAATTCAAGTTTCAGTTGCTTTAAGATATAAATATTTTTGAATTAGAATAATATTTATTGTTGTATTTCTGTATCAGTTTATTATTATCCATATTTAGTATGAAAGGAAAAATATATTCCAGGTGAAATAAAAGCAACTTCAAACTTTCCTTTGGACTAGTTAATATAACTGTCAAAATATGGGGCTTGCAGGTTAGGTGTTAAGTCAGTTGAAGCTAACATTTTTAAGTTGTAAGTAGGATCTTCTTCATTTGTTTGAAATGTTAATCAAAAGACTAAATCTTTAGCTATATAATTTACATCTCATGGCAATGTAAGGACATAAATAAATCCCCTATTTAGTTGAATAACTCATAGGTCAATAAAGTGTATTTTGGAGCAGTTTACACTTGTGAATGTTCCCTCTTTTGTAGATTTCCCTTTGCTCTGACTGCACCTATTGATTTTTTAGTGTGTCTGAAAAATCAGACTCCTGGCGTTGGCCATCACCATCTAGTGGTTAAGCCTCCACTCAATCTATCTTTCCTGATGAATGCTCATTCAATCCCTTAAATCTTACAGGATTGAGGAGTTTTCTATTCTTGCCCCTCTGCTTCTTCCCCTAACAACCAGACTGATCTTTTAAAAAAGAAATTCGTCCTACTAGTTTCACTCTTAACTCTTCAGTGGGCTTATTTACTCTTATATTAAAAATAAAATCCAAATTCCTTATTATAGCCTAACAGACTCAATATCAGTGATTCTCAGCCCATGTAGGGTATTAATGTCACCTGGAGAACTATTAAAACAAATTATTAAAACAAACTATTAACACAAATACATGAGATTATGATACAGTGTTGAACCTGGATACTTACATAGCTAGGTGAACAAAATTCTGGAAGTGGAATCAGAAGTTTTGAGGCTTCTGCGTGTTATCCACCTGACCATAGACTAGCACTAACTGTTCTGTGCCCCAGGTTCTTCATTTTTTATTTTATTTTTTTATTTTTTTTAAAGATTTTATTTATTTATTTTTTCCTCCCAAAGCCCCAGTAGATAGTTGCATGTCATAGCTGCACATCCTTCTAGTTGCTGTATGTGGGACGCGGCCTCAGCATGGCCGGAGAAGTGGTGCGTCGGTGCGCGCCCAGGATCCGAACCCCGGCCGCCAGCAGCAAAGCGCACGCACTTAACCGCTAAGCCACGGGGCCGGCCCCCCAGGTTCTTCATTTGTAGGATGAGGTGTTGATATAGGTTGCTGAGGTCCATTCTATATTCAGAGCTCTGGGGTTCTGTGACAGCCATTGGAAGAACGCAAGATCAGTGTAGACTAGCTTCATGAGACGTCTGGCTTTAAAGAAGACTTTGAAAATTTAGTAGAATTTCTGAATATTCAGCCTCTTTTTTTTTTTTTTTTAAACTTTATTTATTTATTTTTCCTCCCAAAGCCCCAGTAGATAGTTGTATGTCATAGTTGCACAGCCTTTTAGTTGCTGTATGTGGGACGCGGCCTCCGCATGGCCGGAGAAGCGGTGTGTCGGTGCGTGCCCGGGATCCGAACCCAGGCTGCCAGCAGCGGAGCGCGTGCACTTAACCGCTAAGCCATGGGGCCGGCCCTATTCAGCCTCTTTTAGTTCAGTTAGGTGGCTGATTTGGGGGACTTCCCACCCCCACCCAAGCCTGCCTTTGCTATGTAAATGTTGAAAGGAGGTGGTTGGAATTAGTTCTTTGACCTCAAGCTGTAACTCGCTGAATAAGCAGAGAGGGCATTAAAAAATGGAGTAGTAAACAAAAGTTTAGGTACTGGGTTATGGCATGAATCTCTCATATTTGGACAACAGTGAAGAATTTGACATGACTAGATTTGAAGGTATGTTTCATACTTTGTATAGGTAAAATTAGGTCAGTTTAGGAAGAATCTGAGAGGGCAAAATAGAGACGTTTTAGAAATGCACCGCCTCAAATATTACTGCCTAGACTTTGTATGAAATAATTAGATACATCATTTAGACGATGTGTTCTGAGAAAAAAAACTAACAGAAGAGGAAGAAATGGGATTAAGGAAGCATTGATGAGCAAAGAAACCAGTTAAACTTATTGCTAAACTGATACCAACATAGGGGAGAAGAATCGAAGTGCCGTATTCAAAGGGAAGATGTAGACCCTGTTGCACTCCACAAGGAAGAGGATGCCTATACTGAGAAGATTAGCTACTAGCACACCAGAGCTGGCAGCACGTTTTACCTCTTTGCTGGCAGGCTTCGGCAAACAGAATTCAGATAGGCAAGCGGGAAATCCTAGATATCTGCAGCACACTACCAGGTATTACCAAATGTTGGAGAAAAGCTAAAATCAACAGAGAGGTACCAGACTCATAGATGAGGAACGTAATACTTGAAACAGAGTTAAAAGAGCAAGCTCAATGATTTTAGAGAGGATCTTCAAGGACAAAACTATTTTCACTAATAAAACTAAGACAGGATTTGCTTTTTACATTCTCCTGCCCCCTGTGTATAGTGGAGTTTTCTAGGGTCTGCGTGACAATGACAGCACGAGAGTGAATGCTGAAGCAGTTATGAGAGCCAGCTGGCTTCTGTTAAGGCAGACATTAAAAGATCTGCAAAATTGTTCAACTCTGCCAAGCTTCTCACTAATTTTTTTTTTTTATAATTTTATTTATTTTTCTCCCCCCAAAGCCCCAGTAGATAGTTGTATGTCATAGCTGCACATCCTTCTAGTTGCTGTATGTGGGACGCAGCCTCAGCGTGGCCGGAGAAGCGGTACGTCGGTGCGCGCCCAGGATCCGGACCCAGGCGGCCAGTAGCGGAGCGCACGCACTTAACCGCTAAGCCACAGGGCCGGCCCTCACTAATTTTTTTTTTAATAAAAATTTGATGTTAACATAGTATTGGTTTATTTTTATTTTCAGACAAATTATATGATAATGATAGATGAAACCCACATAAACATTCTTTGGGGTCTTGAATAATCTTTAGGTTGTAAAAGGGTCCTGAGACCAAAAGGTTTAAGAACTTCTAGAAGAATGGAAGTAGAATATATGATTTGTAAAAAATTTTTAACGTAGTCAATCTTCCAAAAAGGGAAAAAAAAAAGAGAAAAGCGTTTTTAAAGAAAGTAAAATTGTAGGAAAAGAGATCAAACCGTCTAAGTGGATGGTTTTAACTTATCAGAAGATAATATCAGAAGGGGTTAAAAATTTTAAATCAAATCCAATCTAAAAAGATATTTGAAATAGTATAGGAAGAATGAAAATAAAGTCTTGAAAAAGCTATTCCAGGCGGGCTTAACCAGAACACAGAAGTATCAGTCCTATTAGTATACAAAATGGAAGATGTGAAAAGGACTAAAAGGCGCAAAGAAGAGTGTATAGCGTTAAGAAACTGCCCAAATACACCAAAAAGATACAACAGCCATTAATTTGAAATGTATGATAAATGTAAAACAGATCTAGACAATGAAATTGACAAAGCCATAATCACTGTGGAAGATTGATAGATCAGTTAGACCAACGACAAAAAAAAAAAAAAAGCATTAACTGCCTGCTTGTGGGCTGCACTTGGTCCACAGGTATTTTGTTTGTCTATCACACAATATTTTTTTAAGGTGATGAAGTGTCAGTTACTATTGGCTATGTAACAAATTACCCCAACATTTAGGTTATGGAGAGACTCAAAGGCAGGGGTGACTTGCTGGCTGGGGACTGGAATCATCTGAGTGCTGATTTATTCACATGTCAGGTGTCTGGGCTTGGGATGACGTGAAGACCGTGACTGCTGAGCAGAGGGCCCCCGTGCGGCCTGGCTTCTTCACAGATGGCAGCCTCAGGTAGTTGGATTTCTTACATCGTGGCTCAGGGCTCCAAGTACACTGTTCCGGGAAGCAAGGTAGAAACCTCACTGCCTTTTATGACCTAGCCTCAGAAGTCACATAGCATCATTTCTTCCGTATTCTATTGGTTTCAATAGTTACAAACCTTCCCAGATTTCAGAGGAGGGGCACAGACCCTCCCTTTTAATGGGAGGAATGTCAGATAACTTGTGGACGTGTTTTAAAACCTCTTCAGTCCAACCTCTGACTGTTGATTTACATTCCTCTCAAAAGCAAAAATACATCCCACTTGCCAAAGATCCCCCACCCTTGAGATCCAGGGTCTAAATCAGGTCCAGGTGCAGCTGAGGCTCCTCAGGCGTAGTTCCTCAGTTATGGGTCTTTGAGTACTTGGAGAATCTTCTGCCAGGAAAGACTAGGAAGAAGCAGTTTTATTTTTATAATTTTATTTTTTTATTTATTTTTCCCCCAAAGCCCCAGTAGATAGTTGTATGTCATAGCTGCACATCCTGCTAGTTGCTGTATGTGGGACGTGGCCTCAGCATGGCCGGTGAAGCGGTGCGTCGCCCGGGATCCAAACCCGGGCCGCCAGCATCGGAGTGCGAGCGCTTAACTGCTAAGCCACGGGGCCGGCCCAGAAGTTTTATTTTTGAACCTTGTACATCCTGCCTCTTTTATCTTCTCTCTCTGTTTTGCTTGAAAACTGACCAGTTGCTTTTTAGCTCAGGTCTCTCTATCCTGTTTTGTTATTGTGGATAAAATATACCCTTGATACTTTCAACATTCTGCATGGAGATCTGCTTCGCCAAAATCTACTAGTGGCAGTATTTTTTCCATTTTCCTTGTCACCACAGCCAGCAGTGTTGCTAAAATGCTGCTGCTTCATCTTCTTCATCAACTGTCTCCTCTAGGCCCTTCCAACTCCCCCTGCTGCCTGGTCTCAAAGCTAGTGCCATGTATTTTAGGGTTTTGTTACAGTAGTACCCCAGCTCCTGGTACCAAATTTTGTATTAGTTAGTGTTCCTCTGGTAACAAATCACGGAACTTATCTGTGTAGGCAGCAACCTAGGATGACTCAAGACTGGATCATAATGCCTGCATGTGTCCTCTCTATGTGGTTTGATTTCCACACAGCATGGCAGCCTCGGGGAGTCAGACACCCAGGGTGGCTCAGGGCACCAAGCGCAAGTATTCCAGCAAACACGGTGGCGGTTGAGGGGCTGCATCTCCTTTTACTGCTCAGCCTTGAAAGCCACACTTTGGCTGTTTCGTATTGGTCCACGCGGTTACAAGCCTGCCCACATTCAGAGGAAGGAGACGGGAAGAATGTCACAGAATTGCTCATCTGACAAGTTGTTCATGAAGAAGACAAAGAAATTTAGTAAATTTAGTTATTATTCCTTCAACTGTGACCTCTCAGTTACAAGTGTTGGATTTTTTTTTTTAAACTTTAAAAAAATCACTTGAGAAAGCAAACACCATTGGTTTTTCTTTTTGGTAGGGATCATCAATATGCCTACAGGATGGATTTTTGTTTAAAAGAACTAATGTTAAATGAATAAGGACTTAATGTGGCTTGGGGTAGAATTTCCAGTGATAGCATTACAACACAAATTTTAAAAATGCTGTCTGTATGTCAGTTAGCTTATGTGAAAGTAAAGCTGATACTTCTAGTAAGTGGTATTAGATGACTCAAGAAGTGGCTTTAGTGATGATGGACATGATATTGAAATACTGTAAAGAGTTTGAACAAAATTGTTTCATTAAAGAAAATTAGGGAAAAGTAATCAAGTGTGAGTTTAAATATGTGCATATTTGTATAAATATGTTTATACCCCTGAAAATTTATTCAAGTTAAAAATTTTTTTAGATCTTAATTGGAAAAATAATGGATCATATATTTGATCATACTAAATAAAGCATATAGCCACTTTAGAAAAATATAATAGTGATACCTGGTATCAGTATACAAACACTCCATGTATACTTTTTCCATCAGGGAGAGTTAGAATGTAGTTCTTTTTGAATGAATTAGATTAAACTTCTTCCTTTATTTTATTTTTTTTGCTATTGCCTGATTTTACTTTTAAAAACTTTTTTTAAATGCCGTTAGGAAAATAGTTTACTTTTAATTCCCTTTAGAATTTAATTTTAAAGGCTTTCGTATATGGCTAATCTAGAAGCCAGTAAATTCTACAAAATGGGTATTTCTTGGAAGGAAAATAATTTCATTATTTGCAGCACATCTATGTCTTTCTAAAAATTTTTTAAATTTTTATTTATTTATTTTTTCCCCCAAAGCCCCAGTAGATAGTTGTATGTCATAGTTGCACATCCTTCTAGTTGCTGTATGTGGGACGCGGCCTCAGCATGGCCGGAGAAGCGGTGCGTCGGTGCACGCCCGGGATCCGAACCCGGGCCGCCAGCAGCGGAGCGCACGCACCCAACCGCCAAGCCACGGGGCCGGCCCTGTCTTTCTAAATGTGTTCTCATTCAACTTTTGTCATTAACTTGGTATGGGTTTCAACAAATTATCAATCATTAATTTCCTCATTTTTCCTATCAAGAAGCCAGTGTTAATCTTTTTTTTTTTTCTTTTAAGTTTCTGTAATCTTTGATAGTCTTCAGTTTAAACATAGGGAGGTAGACTTGCAGTTTTTGTGACCTTGCTCAAATCATTTAATTTTTCTGCACCAGTCACATTTTTAAATGGAGATGAAAAATGCCTCTTCTCTTTAACAGCACTGGGTTTTTAACAGCATAAAATGCTAAGCAAGTAAAAGGACTAACATAAAGGTACTCAAGTAAAAACAAATAATAGTTACTGTAAAAAATATTGTGGGGCTGGCCTGGTGGTGTAGTGGTTAAGTTCCTGTGCTCCGCTTCAGCGGCTCTGGGTTCGCAGGTTCGGATCCTGGGTGCGGACCTACACGCTGCTCATCAAGCCATGCTGTGGCGGCGTCCCACATAAAGTAAAGGAAGCCAGGCACAGATGTTAGCCCAGGGCCGATATTAGCTCCAGGCTAATCGTCCTCACCAAAAAAAATATATATATTGTAACAAAGAAATCAAATGTGTCAGTCTGTTAATCTGATACATTGTATTCATTCTTAGTACAGACTTAAGCTGAAACATTCAAAAGATTAATATTTTTAGAAACTTATAATGAATGTTTAGTAATAATTGTGACTTACTGAAAATTGTTATAATATGGAAATTTAAGAATTAAGCATGTTGATAAAAATTTCATTTGGTAGCCATAGTACGCAAAATCCTTTTCTTGGTTAGGAACTCCTTTTAGATAGTGTATTCATTTTGGCTTATGTTTAGTCAGGAGTAAGATGTTTGACTTTTACAGTAGAAGTATTTGCTTTACTGCCAATATTAAGACCATAAATCTTTTGTAGTAAAATATTTTCAGGTTGAGAGTTTTAGAGTATTCTAGGTTTGTTTTTGCCATTTTCTAGCCATTGTTTCCGTCAGTCATTGCTGAGGACATTTTATTTTATTTATTTATTTTTTTTTTTGTGAGGAGGACCAGCCCTGAGCTAACATCCTATGCCAATCCTCCTCTTTTTGCTGAGGAAGATTGGTGCTGGGCTAACATCCGTGCCCATCTTCCTCTGCTTTGTATGAGACGCCGCCACAGCATGGCTTAAGAAGCAGTGTGTCGGTGTGCGCCCGGGATCTGAACCAGCGAACCCCGGGCCGCCGCAGCAGATTGCACGCACTTAACCACTTGTGCCGCTGGGCTAGCCCCCGACATTTTACTTTTTGAAATATGCCCTCCAACTAACAAAAACTGTCTACATTAAATATTATATCAGTGCACCCAGCCAGAGGTTTCTAACCTCCCCTGCTATTAAACTGCCTTAGGGAAATATAAAATGGACATGACAAAGGCGTTTTCATAAATTGTACCTGCCGTAGAAGCAGTACCATGTGCATTTCTTATTAAAATAGTTTCATTGTGTATAGCTTTTATTCCCAAAGAACCCAATAAGCATAGAACTCGAAGCTGCCTCTGAATTTTTTTCTACACAATTGTAGTCTGGATGTCATTAACATTATTTCATACATACCTTTTCATGAATTAATGCAGTTTCCATTTTTCAGAGTTAAAGCCTATGCCATCATATTGCTGTGCTACTTGTTTAACCATTTGTTCTTTTTGTATTCAGCTTTTCTGCAGTTAGAGAAAAAAGGACCACAAAAACAGCACTTTGATCAGCCTTCAGTAGCACCTAGGAAGAACTACTCGTTCACAAGAGAGGAGGTGAGACAGATTGATCGGGAGAATCAAAGGCTTTTGAAAGAACTCTCAAGGCAGGCAGAAAAACCAGGAAGCAAAAGTATGATTCCTAGAAGATCGATTGGTCATCCCCCTAAGTTATATCATAGCGCTCTCAACAGACAGAGGGAACAGCAAAGGATTGAAAGAGAAAATTTGGTAAGTAACTGAAATTTTTTAGTCATTAAAGAAAATGCATTTTTACAAATTTGTAAGTCCAATTTACAGGAAACCCAAATACAGCCAAATTTTCAAACTTAATTGTATAAAAGTAGGTATAGATATGTATGGCGTGAAATGCATAATGAGCTATGAGCCTGGAGGGTACATTATATGTGGTTTTTTTTTTTTTTTTGTAAGGAAGATCGGCCCAGAGCTAACGTCTGCCAATCCTCCTCTTTTTGCTGAGGAAGACTGGCCGTGGGCTAACATCCACGCCCATCTTCCTCCACTTTTTATATGGGACGCCGCCCCAGCATGGCTTGACAAGCGGTGCCTTGGTGGGCGCCCGGGATCCGAACCAGCAAACCCCGGGCCGCCGCAGCGGAACGCGCACACTTAACTGTTTGCACCACCGGGCCGGTCCCCGTTGTATGTTTTTTTTTAATCCAATAAACTATATTTTAAGGGAACATTAAATGAAAGTACTGAAGGTGCCATTATTTATTTGACTAGATCTGTTAAATCGCTACAGTAGTACAGTAAATGGTGCCCACGGGTCAGATACATGTATCTTCTGTGAGGTATTCAGTCACTAGCTAAATGAATTTCACTTGATTGTATCCTTGAAAGCTAAAATAATTTATCATTTATTTTAAAGGATAAATACATTCTCAAAAAGGTCAATTTTGGTGGTCTGCCACTTGAATATATGAAAGATACTGGTTTTTAAAAATCATGTAGTAACGCTTTGATGTTCTAAGGACTGTATATAGAAACTGTTGAAAATCTTCATGTTAAAAACTATTCATAGCATATCATTTTCTCTGTAAAATTCAGTTCATAGTAATTGCTGATGTTTATTGAGCTCTTACTAAATTCCAGGCAGTGTTCTAAGTATTTTCTAAGTATTAGCTTATTGAATCCTGACAATAATTCTTTCAGGTGGGTACTATTTTTATCCACATCTTACAGGTGAAATAAATGAGACCTAGAGGGGTTAAATAACTAGCCCAAGGACACAGAGCTAGTTATGTAAGTGGCTGAGACAAGATTTTAAACCCAGGTAGTTTCCTAAACTAATATTAGACACTTAATGAGCACATAAATTCAGAGCTAAAATAATTTATAAAGCTGTTATTTAAATTACTAAAACAATTTCCAAAGTTCATTGTCATTGTGTTTCATCATCAGTCTAGTCCTATTTAGCTATGTACTTACCTGAACTGGTAACAACTCCTGTAAATTTCTCTTTTCACCATCACCAGCACCAAGAGTTGGGGAGCTGGGGTGGTCTATCTACAAAAAATAGTAAAGTCTTAACCCTTCCGGAGGGCTGTCCTCCATGTGGCAAGGAGTAGATAACAACAAAGCAACTTGAGGTGAGGTTGGTGGGTAGTGAGCTACGTAATAGCTTTCTGAGCAGCACTGTGTGCAGTAGTTAAGCGTCGTTCATGATTTATGAGAATTTGAAATTACTCTCTGTCCTTTGGGTTTACCTTTTTTGTTTGTTTTCACTCTCCCACGTGGCTCTGGGAACTATTTTATTTATTTGAACAAGCAATTACATAGTACATACTATTTTACAAATTTTAGGTCATTTAATTTTCATAGCAACCTTATGACATAGTTACTATTGTTATGGAGGAAAAATGAGACACTGAGTGGGACACAGAGACTTCCTCAAGGTCACACAGCTAGCAAGCAGCAGAATCATCCAGGTTGCCTACCTTTGGAGTTACTTTTTTTTTAACAACTTTTTTGAGGTATACTTCCCATACCATAGTCATTTATTTATTTATTTATTTTTTTTTTTTTTAAAGATTTTATTTATTTTATTTTTTCCCCCCAAAGCCCCAGTGGATAGTTGTGTGTCGTAGCTGCACATCCTTCTAGTTGCTGCATGTGGGACTCGGCCTCAGGATGAACGGAGAAGTGGTGCCTCGATGCGCACCCGGGATCCAAACCCGGGCCGCCAGCATCGCAGCGCGCGCACTTAACCACCAAGCCACAGGGCCGGCCCACCATAGTCATTTAAAGTGTACCATTCAGTGGGTTCTGGTACATTATATTAATTTTTTAAGTTGTTTTAAAATATGTATAACATAATGTTTTCCATTTTAACTATTTTTAAGTGTTCAATTTAGAGGCATTAATTACATTCACAATGTTGTGCAACTATCACTACTATCTATTTCCAAAACTTGTTCATTTCCGTTTTTACCTATAGAACAGTAACTCCCCACTCCCCCACTCCTCTCAGCCCTTGGTAACCCCTAATTTACTTTCTCTCTCTATGAATTTGTCGATTCTAGATATTTTATGTAAGTGGAATAATACAATATTTGTCATTTTGTTTCTGGCTTATTTCACTTAGCATGTTTTCAGGGTTCATCCATGTTGTAGCCTGTATCAGAACGCCATTCCTTTTTTTATGGCTGAATAATATTCCATTATATGTAAATATCACATTTTGATTATCCATTCATCTGTGGATGGACACTTGTTATTTCCACTTTTTGGCTATTGTGAATAATGCTACAGTGAACACTGACACAAGTACAGTCATGTGTCGCTTAACGACGGGGATACGTTCTGAGAAATGTGTCATTAGGTGCTTTTGTTCATTGTGTGAACATCATAGAGTGTACTTACACAAACCTAGATGGTACAGCTTACTACACACCTAGGCTGTATGGTACTCATCTAATGGGACCACCATCCTATATGCAGTGTCATTGACTGAAATGTCATCATGCAGCACATGACTGTATACAAACAGGATGAAAACTGTTAGCAGCTTCTGTTTACAGCTTTTATTATCCCCCAAATCAGTTGTTCATTTCAGCCACTTTAATAAACAGTGGAAAATTACCACTATTTTATTCTTTTTTCTTTGTATTCTTAGTAAGTTGGATATGGGAGCAGTATTTTTCTCCATTTGACAGTAAGATCTTATTTGGTATACTTAAGAACAGTAGAAATATAATGTGAGCCACATGTATCATTTAAATTTTTCTAGTAGTCACATTAAAAAGGTCGAAAGAAACAGGTGAAATTATTCTCATAAAATATTTTATTTAACTGAATAAATATTGCATTTTAATGTGTAATCAATATAAAAAATTAATGATGAGATATTTTACTTTCTTTTTTGGTAGTAAGTCTTTGAAATCTGTTGTGTATTTTGCACTTAAAGCACATCTCAGTTTGGACTAGCCATATTTCAAATGCCCTGTAGCCACATGTGGGTAGTGGCCTGGGACAGTGCAGCTCTGAATCAAAAGCTAATTCATACAGAAGTGAAAAAAGAAACTTAAAGCTAAATAGGAAAACAAATGTAATTTCTTATGGAATATTTATTATGTTAATGTTAGGAAAGCTAATTTTTGAGATTTATGTTTAACTCTTCATCCTCTAAACCAAAATAAAGCTAATCCTATACCTTTCTAAAACTTTTCTTGGCTATTTCTTTGCATTTATTCTTCATATTGACTGATATTTTTCTTTTTTTAAAAAAATTCTAATATAAATTTTCATTGAAATTGTGTTAAGTTTACATTTTAATTTGCGTTTTTGGCACTCTTAAAATATTACCTTCCTATCCAGAAAGATAGTATGTCATTCTGTTTATTCAAGCCTTCTTATACTCTACCTTAGTAAGATTTTGTAGTTTTCTTCAAAACCGTATGTTTTTACACTATTGTACATGAAATTTTTTCATTACATTTTCTAACTGCTTGTCTTTGTAAACTGTTGATTTTTGCATATTTATTTTATAACCAGCCACCTACCAAACCCTTATTTTGAGCCACGTTGGCTCTGATAGTTCTTCATTGTGAGCTGATACACTTTTTAATCTGTTTGCTGGGCAGTTCATAGTCAGAACACACATGCATGCATACGTGCACGCACGTGCGCACACGCACACTTTTGTAGTTATTTCTGTGTCAGATGTACTGCACAGCAGGGTCCATTACTTCGTAATTTTTGTGATTTGTGTTCCTTCATTTGCTCCATCTCCAGTGACAGATACCAATGCAGACGGCTGACAGGTGTGATGACTACAGCAGTTGTGTTCCAGTACTCTTACGTTAGCTTGTTAGCAGTCCAGAGGCTCTTTCAACTGACATAATTCAGGACAAAAAAGTAGTTCTGTGCAGAGAAGGTAGAAAAGGAGAGCAAAGATATTGTATAAAATTGAGTCCTGCGCTTTAGAGTTAAAAGCGTACTCTTAATGTGTCTTTCTGGTGAAGTTTGAGATCTTCATAATTTGTTTCAATAAGCAAATACTACCTTTCTGTCTCATTCATAAGGGAAGAAAAAGTCATTTTATCCAGTAGAGGGCGTGCTAGTCATTTTATCCAGTAGAGGGCGTGCTGGCTACATAGAGACTCGATTATATTGGAACTTTGTTTCCAAAAAGGAGACTAATTTTTTTTTTTATAATTTTATTTATTTATTTTTCCCCCAAAGCCCCGGTAGATAGTTGTATGTCATAGCTGCACATCCTTCCAGCTGCTGCACGTGGGACGCGGCCTCAGCATGGCCGGACAAGCAGTGCGTCCGTGCGCGCCCGGGATTCGAACCCGAGCCGCCAGTAGCGGAGCGCGTGCACTTAACCGCTAAGCCATGGGGCCGGCCCAGGAGACTAATTTTTTAATTCCTGAGTTTTGAAATATTCTTGTTAAACTATATCTCTTTATCCTCATTTGAATGTAATGTGAATCTTATTTATTTATTTTTCTTTGTGAGGAAGATCAGCCCTTAGCTAACATCTGCCAATCCTCCTCTTTTTGCTGAGGAAGACTGGCCCTGGGCTGACATCCATGCTTTATCACTTCAGGAACAGTAGAGCAACTCTCCTCTGCTGACAACTGCAGAAATCATTAACCCATTATTTGTTCATTTGTTTTAACCCTTCTACCTCAGAAGATGGACAGGATCCAAGCTGGGTTAATTTTCTTTCCAAAAAGAATGATACTTCCAAGATAGAAAAGAAATATTTGGACAGACTGTTTTGGGATTCATTAATAGAATCTGATTTGAGTAGCAGTTTTAAGATTCTGTAAACCATAAATTGCAAGATAAGTAACCATTCTTATCATTTTTCAATTCATTAAACAGATATTTGTTTAATGTCTGCTATGAGCTATGTAAGACACTGGAAGGAATATAAGAAAAAATATAAAATACTGTCCTGTCATGTAATTTACAGCCTAGCTAGGAAGATAATACTATTGTTACATGTCAGACAACTAGAAAATAACACAAAGCAATATTAATGATAGCAATGATAGTTAATAACTCCTAACTATATGCCAGGCACTGTTCTGAGCACTTTATATAACTGAAAATATCAAGTTTTCAGTCTGTCCATTCCACCCTGCACAGCTCAATGGGTAGCTAATAGGATAAGCAGATAAAACAGCAGATGTTGCTCTGCCTAGTAAAATACATTGACAATGTGATACATAGGAAGTTTCCTACTCAGTTATGAATGTCTTAGTCAGACGGGCAGTAGTATTATCTTGCCAGATAGGTTATGAATTACGTGACAGGGCAGTATTTTATATTTTTTCTTATTTTCCTTCCAGTGTCTTACATAGCTCATAGTAACTATAAACTGTAGGTAGAGAAGATGTAATCTTACGAGGTTTTGCTACCTGAATTATACAGCTTCTCTGTCTACAAAGAGAGAAAGACAATATGTTATGATGGAAAAACCGTAGACTTTACAGATGGAACCATGTGTAAGTCATAACAGAGAACCACTAACTCTAGTTGGATAAGGCTTCAGTGAGGGTTGACTCTCCTCTAGCCTTTGAAGGCTAAAAACTGGGGAAGGGCATTTCATGCAAAAAGAATAGTGAGCAGGCTAAGTTCTCTCCGTTGGTCTATCTGCTTTTTCATGTGTTCTGCCCCTCTGCCACTTGGCTCCAGGCTCAGTTTATTTCTGTAACACCTTATTCTCTCTCTTTTCTAAACAGCTCTTCCCCTGAATATTTTGACTTGTTCTACCATCTCTTGCTTCTATGGAATTGCTCAGCAACTCTGATAATGGAACCTCAGCATAGAAGGGCAGGGGCAAAACTGATAAGAGCAAAACACTCAGTTGAGAAAAGGTTCTGGAGATGGTTGGTGGTGATGGTTCACAGCGACGTGAATGTGCTAAATGCCACTGAACTGTGTGCTTAAAAATGGTTAAAATCGTAAATTTTGTTATGTATATTTTACCACAATAAAAAGAAAACTAAGTGGAGGAAGAAGGAAAAAAAATGGTACAGAGAAAACTTGTCCTATGACTGAACTCATGAGGCTGATTTTTTAATGTGAGTCTTAGTACGGAAAAGCATTTTCTTTTCAAATAAAGATCAGCTTGCTGCAGAGAAAGTTTAAATCAATAAAGAAAGTAATAAAACACAACCATGGATCAATTCCCCAATCCATTTGGTCTACATAAATATTCCTTTCTCAGCGATGCCTTTGAAAATCAAACAAAAGAAACTCTTTCACCTTCTGACTTGTGAAGAAAATAAAATTAGGAGCATTATAGATTAGACTCTTACTGAATTGTATTAAAGAAAATATCATGTTACTGGATACTGTGTTGCCTTGGCTAGTTGGTTTATATATCCTTTAGTAGTTGATTTTCAAACTTCTTAACAGCGAAACATTTTTTTTTCCAAACTAAATTTTATGCAGAATATTCAGTATATAAAACAGACAATACAGAAAGCATAGTTGAGCTGGTAGAAATTAGGAGTGGGAGACCTGAGAGCCCTGCCCACTTGGCCGTCCCTCAATGTCCTGGTGTCCTTTGAGGTGCTACTGGAAAGTAGTAAACAGGTTCAAAGCCACTGCTCTATAATCATATATAGAATGCATAGTAGCTTGGATAAGTTTATTGTCATTTCTAGGGTTAAATACCAAACTCTTAGCATTATTATTTCCATTATGTCATGTCCATGAGAAAATCCAGTTTAATGTATGTTGACTTACAGCACCTTATCTAGGATTATAACCTAACATAAAAAGAGAGATGTGCCGTGGCCAGCCCCGTGGCCTGGTGGTTAAGTTCGGCATGTTCCACTTCAGCGGCCCAGGTTTGGTTGGTGCAGACCTACACCACTCGTCGGTGGCCATGGTGTGGTGGCAACCCACATACAAAATAGAGGAAGATTGGCCCAGATGTTAGCTTAGGGCTAATCATCCTCAAGCAAAAAAAAAAAGAGAGAGAGGTATGTGCCTATAATCAGTTGTTAAAATCATAGTGGTTTTAGTTAGCTATAGGAAAGGTGAAAACCCTTAGATTTTCCTAAAAGTATATTATTTGAAATACTTTTTCAAATGGTATGTCAACTGTGATTTAAGTCTTTTCTACTTTATTTTGTGAATTTCAGGTGCTAAAAAGTACTTATTTGCCTTTGCCTTTTTAAAAACTATCACTATTTATCTAACGTTGACTTTCGAATTGATTGTCTTTAAATGAAGGCTTTATTGAAAAGGCTTGAAGCTGTGAAGCCAACAGTGGGTATGAAACGCTCAGAACAGCTGATGGACTATCATCGCAATATGGGTTATCTCAGCTCATCGCCATCCTCAAGACAAGTGAGATCAACTCTTGGCCAGTATAGCCCACTAAGTAAGCATGTTCAAAATTATTTTGTACTTGTTTGTATCTTTTACCCATTTTTAAAAATATAGCTTATGTTCTTATGAAAGAGTTTTAAAATGCTGACTTCTGGAATGCATTCTGTTGTTTTTTCACTGGCATGCTTTGTTTTATTTGTGTTAGTTCAGTTAATTTCAGGTTTCGTTTACAGCATGTAACGGCAACATAGGAAAGAAACCAAGAGCTAAAACAATTGAAAATATCAGTAGTTTCTTAGATAATGGAGGAGAGACTTTTAATTTCAATATGTTTATTAAAGGAAGAAATGAATAGACATACGATTTAAAAGTTACTGAAACATTCCCCCTAGCCAGTTAAGAATTATTAATAATACCTTCCAGCCTTTATACGTGCTTTTTCTTCCTCGTTGGGTAACTAAAACAAAAATTAGCAATCTGTAGAGTCATCAGATGTAATCCCTCTTATTGCCTGATAGGTGATCAGTCACACACCTAGCCGGTGGTGTATCCCAGAGAAGGTGGGCATAGAGTGACCACTTAGTGCTGGGGTATGCAACACGCAGAAAGGCCAGACTTTTCCCTTTACAGAGGTCTGTGCTGTTACTTCATGTATGCATTCTAAACCATAAAAAATAGAAGCCAGTACTGAAAGAAAATTTGGACCACTTATAATGCCACAACTTGCTGGTGCTCATGTGAGTCTCAAATGACTAGTAATTCCATTCATTCGTTCTCCAAGCATTACCTCCTTGGCATAGTGACTAAGACAGGGTCTTGTTCCAATAACTCATACTTAGTCTTCTGCCTTGAATGTGGTAAATTATTTGTTGAATAAATGTATAAATGGTTATACAAAGTTTTTTTTTTTTTTTCACTTGAATCATTTGAAAAGCTTTGTAAAGTAAGTGTTTATTCCCACCCCAAATCTATTGAATCAAAATGCCCTAGTGTAGTCTGGACATGGTGGTTGTTAGATTTTTAAGTTCCCCCGGGACTCTGAAGTGCATTTCTGCTTGGAAATCATGTTAGACTATTAACAACACACATGAGATAGGGAAGAAAAATTTCGTCTGGACTTAAAATTAGGAGAGGAAGTTTATCAGATGATGATTTATGTATTTAGTTTAAATAATTTAAATGATTGCTTGTTCTTCATATATTTTCAGGAGGCGCGTCCAGGACATCCAGTGCTACCAGTGGTCTCAGTTGTAAAAGTGAGCGACCAGTTTTTGACACATCCAGTGGCCTGTTGCTAAGACCTAAGCCCCCTAATGTCCGTACAGCTTGGTTATAAAAGCTCTTTTTACTGTAAACATTGTTCATCCAATGCTTATTGAAGTGCTCTTGTATATTACTATAATTCTCTGTAAACATCTATAATACTGTGTTAAGCAATTTAAGGTGTACAACAGCAAGTTGTAATTTATTGTAATTCAATGCAAAATTGTTTTCCAAAAGACAATGTAATGTAAAATCAGTGTTTCCTATGAGGATGTACTTATATAAGATGTATATGTATTTAATAGAGAAATGGTTGTATGCGTGTATACTTTCTCAACATAGAAATGGATTCAGCTGTCACGCTGACAGAATACTTGTGATTGTATAACTGCACATTGGACCCAAGATGTTAATTAGTTGTTGTTTGATGCTTTTTTTCATTTCTTACAAGATTTAAACCATGAGCATAGCTGACTTTGTTTTCTGTTTGCTTCAGAACTTAGGTGGTGTGACTCTTAACTTGTGAGACAGTTATGCTTTCTTCTTATGAAACAAATCTTGAATGTGTTTTTAGTGGTGGAGCTGATTTAGACTTGATGAGCAGATTGAGAGAAGCTTGTGCTGGGGCAGTCCTTGTGCACCAGAGGTATCTGCTGCCTGTGCTATCTGTAGAAGTGTGCTGAGTTAGATCTTAAAAATTTGATCAACCATTCCAAACCTTTTCAAACTGAGTATTAGAAAGTTCAACTTAGAAGCTCCTTGTTCGTGTTTTTATACATTCAGGTAAAGTATATTAATGATTTTGGGAAATGAGGTTGGCTTTAGAGCTGCAGTCTACTGCATTGTGAATAGTTTGTCCAAGGACCAGATCATCATAAGCAAAAACAAGTATTTGTTGAATCAGCAAAATAGCACCACCAGTTTGAAGAGCCAAGAAGCAGATGCTGAATTGTGTCAGAACAGTGTTTTAAGTGATGCTGTTAACAAGTTGTGTTATATTTAGTATTTATTGTATTAAGAGAGAAGATAAATAAGAAAGAAATGCATTGTCTCACAGCCTTAGAAATTCTAGCTAGTGTTGTTAAGGGCTGGAAAAGAAAACTAAAATATGAACGATAAAGGAAAAAAATCACATATTTGCTGAGGCTACTAAATGTCAGCTAATTTTCTTGTTTTGTTTTGGTTTGGGCTTTTGGGTTGAATCCTGAAAGTGTCATTTTTGCCAGTCCTGCTTTTAAAGGCCTAGTAATCTTAATGGAATTAGTAATGGCAAACAGAGTGTAATATAGATTGACTTTTGAAATTAGAATATTTTTCTGTCAATCTCTAGGCTCTTGTTTTATACAACAAGTATATCTCAGTCATGGTTGTATCTGCTGTCCTGGTTATCACTGTTTCTCGTTACTGGCCTTTCAGTATACCCTTAGAATGTGTTGGCAAGTTTCCATATTAAATGCCAAACCTTTAGTTTTTTAATATGAATATTTGATCTGTAGCCACAGTGAGAAGACGTGTTTTTTCTTTTCGGGGGTCAGTTCAAGCTCTGTAACGTGTGCTGAGCTTATTTCTCTTAACACCTTTGGCAGAAAGCCACACCACACTTTACTATAAACTTGAAATCAGAATTGCTTGGTCTTGGTTTGTATCGATGGGTTTTGTTTAGGATGGGGCATGTGAAGCCTGGGAACAGTGGGGCTAAAAAATTCCTGTGAACACAACCTGACGAGATTTTTGTGCTTCTTTCTTTGGGCTGTACTGTTTGTTCGTTGTCGTTTGATGCTCTGTTCTGGTGAACAAGTTTTTACATCATTTAGTGCTCTGCTTTATATATAAACTTTAGCTACACTAAACCAAGGTTTGGTTTTATTTTTTAACTTATTGTACTTTTAATGTTTGTATAACAGCCTGTCTTGAAGGAGAGAGAAGATAATGCTGAATTTAAAACTCAGCATTTGAACATCTGCCCAATAGTGAGTTAGCTAATTTTTTAAAATTGATTTTCAAGTTGTTAGGGAAAAAATATATATGAAACTTTTAATGTTCATAATGGCATTAGTCTCTGAGTACATTTTAGATGGTCTTTGCTGCCATATGTCAGGACACAACACATAATTTCATAGAGAAAGCTGTACTTTGATTTTAGATAGTGGTTTAATGCTTTTAGTTTTTACTACTTTGACAGGGGAGGTTCATCTAAGTATTACTGATAACAAGGATTCAACTTAAAGTAAAAGTGAGGACGAGCAACAATATTCATCTTTTCAAAGCAGAATTTACAATTCTGTTGTCCTGATTACTTTATATGATAAATATAAATAGAGGGATAAGAGTTGGAAAATGTGATGATCTCTGATATAAGTCAAGGTACTTTGCAGTTGTTGTGGTTTAAGGGGCATTTTTTTGAAGGAATCATAAGTATACTATTTTCGTTTTCAAGACCATAAAAAAGAAAAAAGTCAAGAATCATCTAGCACTACTACATATTGATATATATATTCACTTGTACCTAATATATATACTTTGAAAGTTTATATCACCAATTAGAAATTATAGTAATCCAAAGTCTAAAATTATAGGCAAGATTCTTATTGTGAGTTATTTTCATCTCTGTCAAATGTTAAAGTAATGTTGCCTCCTTTTTAATTAGATTCTATGAAAGATTTTGAACATTAAAATTATTTCCTAAGGGATAGCCATAATCTCATGCTTCCCCTACTCCCTCTCTTCAGTCTCCATGAGAAGCTGCTGTCTTAGCTACTACTCCAAATAAAATGTTCTGGTTTGCTTATAAATATAGTGTAGCGCAGTTGTTTTCAACCCGTTAATCCAAATGTCCAAAATGGATATCTAGACAAATTCTACAAAAAGGTCATTGTGATGGATATGATTGTGTGCTTCTTATCTTTAGATTCAAACACTGCACACTGTGAAAAGTATTATGACCAATATAAAGTTGGAGACACAAGTTTATTATATTTTAATAATTAAATTCATAAAATGTTTAATATCTTAAATGCCGAAGCCTTAATCTATAAATGATTGTATTCCATCCTAGAAAACATGCTTAATGCTAATGGCTGTTTTATTCCCATGAATAAAGATTAGTAAGAAACTTAAAAATCAAGATCTTTTTTAATTTCCCAGTCCATTGTATTGTGTTTTAGGCATGAAGAACTAGCTTGGCCTAGTGAAGAAAGAAAGAAAAGAATTAAAGGTAACTGAATTTTGATCCTATGTCTGTCTTTCAAATGCACTGTCTTGTTTCCATTTTAAAAATTAGAATAATAATTTTTATTTGCCTTACAAGATGAAGAATTAGTGAGAATGAAGTTGGAAGGAGGGTATTTGTTATTTATGTCTTCGAAAGTATGACATTTATATGGGAAAGAGTTTGCTTAAAATTACATTCTTGATGAACATCTCTTTAAACCACATCCTCTAATTTGTTCTGTAAAATTATGATGCTACAATGGACACTTTTATAGCTTGAAAGTGTTTTTTTCAAAGTGTCTATCCACATCAACGTCTCATATGTATTATATGTATTATGAGTGATAAGAAATACTCTTTTCAAAACTTGCTGCTAAAACATCAGTTTAGGAATGTTTTTGATGAGGGTTTAATAACAAGGATGCCATTGGAATAAATTACTGAATAGCTCCTGCAGTAGTATATTTGAGCTCTCAACTACGAAGATAAAGGATGCTTATAGCAAATAAGATTACATTATAGCAGAAAATTTTACTTGATTTTAAAATTCTGGTGACTGTTTTTTAAGCCACTTAGAGATATTTCTGGAGCCACTATAATACAGTCTTAATGTTCTATGTGTCTATTTCAAAATCCACTTTGTAAGTTCAGATAAGTTGCACTATTCTAGATGATGTTTTTGGGCCGGCCCCATGGCTTAGCGGTTAAGTGCGCGCCCTCCACTACTGGCGGCCCGGGGTTCGGATCCTGGGCGCGCACAGATGCACCGCTTCTCCGGCCATGCTGAGGCCGCATCCCACATACAGCAACTAGAAGGATGTGCAACTGTGACATACAACTATCTACTGGGGCTTTGGGGGAAAAATAAATTAAAAAAAATTATAATTAGATGACGTTTTTGAGGCTTTTCTGCTTTACAAAGTAGAACTTATGAGGTAACGTATCATTTTTAATTTAATGAGACAGGATTTTTTCCTATGAACCTAATTTCACGTTTGCTATTATAAGGTAGTAAAAGAATTTGGATAGTCACCAAAAAACAATTAAAGACTCGTTCCAAATTCTTACAGTGTATGTTACAATGATGGTCTTCACCAAAAATCACACATCACATTTATTTCATATATTTGGGAATTATAGCTGATCTCCAAGTTTGGAGTATGCTTTCTTTATTTCATTCTGAGAATCTTTATATTTCATGAAGAAAATATCCAGAATTAAGCAAATATATCTGTTTCCCATGTAGTTATGTATACTAACTAGAAAAACCTAATTCTACCATTAATTTGAGAAGATTACATTTTAAATTATATTTTGAGGAATGTGAGAGGGATGTGGTCTTTTAGGTTTATATTCACAAAAAAATGACATTCCATAGATTCTGTTGTTAACTGTTATCTAAGTATTACAGAAATACAGAAGGGGACACAAAACATAAATGTACATCGTGTCTATAGTCACAAAGCAAACCCTGGGTCACCACTAACCAGATCAAGAGTTGGAACGTTGCCAGAACTCACAAGGTCCTTTGGGGCTCCCTCCTGTCATTACTCTCCCTGCCTGCCAAAAGGTAACTGTTATTCGTAACTTGTTATTAACAGCATAGTGTAGTTTGGCCTGTTTTTGCATGTCTTGTGAATGGGATTATAGTACATTCTTTTGTGTCTGGCTGCTTTTGCTGAACATATTTATGTTTGTAAGACTCTTCGCTGTTGTCGCAGGTAGCTGTAATTCGTTTGTTCTCATTTCTGTATAATACTCTAGTCTATGACTGTACCATGATTTATTTATCCCTCTGTGGTTGATAGACATAAGGTGGTTTCCAGGTTTTGACTACTACAAATAATGCTAATGTGAAGACTTTTATAGGTGTGTCTTGATTACCTGTGCATGCATTTTGGTTGAGCAAATACTCAGGAGTGGAGTTGCTGGGTCATAGAGTCTGCAAATTTAGTAGATAATGCCAGAGTTTTCCAGAGTGAGTGTACCAATTTACTCTCCTACCAAAGGGTATTAGTTCCTGTTGCTCCATAGCCTCACTAATATTTAGTGTCATTTTTTAAGTTTAACCATTTGGATGGGTATGTAATGATATCTCGTGATTTTAATTGCCTTACTCTGAGTAATAATCAGATTGAACACTTTTTCATGTTTATTAGCCATTAGAGTATCTTTCGTGAAGTGCCTTTTCTAGCTTTTTGCCTATTTTTCTATTGGTTGAATGTCTTTCCTGTTGATTTATAGGAGCAGTTACATATTCTGCGTATGATACAGTCCCAGTGTGAGTTATGTTACAAATATTTTCTCCCAGTCTGGCTTAGCTTTTCACCGTCAATGGTGTCCCTGAACAGAAATTCTTAGTTTTATTTTAGTCCAGTTTATCAGTCTTTTCTTTTATGGTTAGTACTTTTTGGGGGGTGGGGGGCGGTGAGGAAGATTGGCCCTGAGCTAACATCTTCTGCCAGTCTTCCTCTACTTTGTATATGGGATGCTGCCACAGCATGGCTTGATGAGCAGTGTGTAGGTCCACGCCCAGGATCTGAACCCGTGAACCCCCGCCAAAACAGAGCATGTGAACTTAAGCACTACACCACCAAGCCGGCCCTGGTTAGTACTTTTTTTAAATGTTAGATTTTATGAAATTTTCATTTATCTGAGGGCATGAAGATACTTTGCTATATTAATCTTCTAGAAGTTTTGCCTTCCACACTTAGATAATGCAGTTCACTGACATTTGTTGATTGTCTCTTTTTCACTAATTCTACTGTTACCTTAATTATTTCCTTCCAGCTTTATTCTTTGGGTTTAATTTGCTGTTATTTTCTAACTTCTTGAAATGGATGTATAGTTTACTGATTTTCAGGCTTCTTTTCTGATAGAT